AGCTAGCTGGCTAGCTAGCTAGCTAGCTGGCTAGCTAGCTAGCTGGCTAGCTAGCTAGCTGGCCAGCCAGCTGTGTAATGGGTTGATTACTAGCTCCCTAGCTAACCAGCCACACACCTAGCTAGCTAGCTAGCTAGCTAGCCACAACCCCAACAACCTGGCAAGCCATTACCCGCGACAGCTCCCCAGCTAGCTAGCTAGCCAGGCAGCTAGCTAGCCAAGCCTCTAGCTAGCTAGCTAGCCACAAGGGAGAAATGAAAGAACTGGAAGGAAAAAAAAGACCCCACAGCTCGCAGCAGACAGCTGCGAAGCGGCAGCTTTGAGAAGCACTTGAAGAATAATTAAATAAAGAAGGGAATAAAAAAAACAATAATAAATAAATAATAAATAATAAACAAACAATTAATAATAAATAATATATAATAATAAAAAGAAATTAACTAAAGAACAAGCAAAAACAATGGAAGGTTCTGTAGCACGAAAAGAAACACCTCCCGGATCGCGCAGCACAAACCCCAAACCCTAAACCCTAAACGCCACAAGCCCTCCAAACCCTAGAGCACAAACCCTCGGGGTTTCTAAAAGCGTTTCAGCCCGGCGAGCGTTGGATCCGCTGCAGGCGTGTGCGCCGAGCGCGGGAGTCCAGCTGCCGAGGGTTTAGGGATTAGGGTTTAGGGTTTAGGGTTTACCGTCGACCTCGCGGGTGAGGGTGACGAGGACATCGTTCTCCTTTTCCTGCAGCTGCCATTTTTTTGTTTCTAAAAATTCTTTTATTTTCTTTTCAGGTTCATACTGGGCTTTTTCATGAGCTATTTCTTTCTGAATGACTGCAGCAAGAGATTCTGCTGCTGCTGCTGCGCTGCTGCTGAAGCCGCGCTGCTGCAGCTGCTGCTGCTGCTGCGCCGCCGGCTGCAGCAGGCGACGCGGCAACAGACAGCTGCTGCTGCTGCTGTTAAAAGCCCGAACTGCCAAAAGCCCTCGGCTGCTGCTGCTGCTGCTGCTGCTGCTGCTCAAACCTGCAAAGCGAGCAGCAGCACGAGCTGCTGCTGCTGCTGCTGCTGATCCGGCTCCTGCTGCGGACATCTTGCAGTGTACGTACACCTCAGCGCCTGCGGCTCCTCGAGATCCAAAAGTTCCTTCAAACAGGAATTCTTTGCCGGCAGCAGCAGCAGCAGCAGCAACAACAACGGCAGCAGCAGCACCGGGTTGTGGGGTGCAGCAGCAGCCCTTGCGCCTCAAGCCTCACCACCAGCTGCAGCCCCGTGCTCCTGTCTTGCTGCTGCATCAGCAGCAGCTGCTGCTGCTGCTATAGAAAATAGTTATATTTTAAATACAAAAAGCAAAAAAAGGGCAGATCTTTGCGCCAGCAGCAGCAGCAGCAGCACCGGCTACAGTAGGAGCAGCAGCAGCAGCAGCAGCAGCAGCAGCAGCAGCAGCAGCAACACACGGTGTCTCGAGGCGTCGCAAACCCTAAACCCTAAACCCTAAACCCTAAACCCTAAACCACGGAACTGCTGCTTCGCTTCTTATATTCTGCTTCAACTTTTCAGATAGGGCCTCCGGGGTTGCAGCAAACGCTGCTGGAAAATGTAAACCCTAAACCCTAATCCCTAAACCCTGGTCCCGAACCATGGGGAAGTAGACAGTCTTTAACGACTGAATAAACCTAGGGATTGAGGTTTAGGGTTTAGGGTTTAGGGTTTAGGGTTTTGTGTGGGGCTCAGGGCCGCCGCCGTGAGGGCCGGAGGGCTGCTAATTGCTCGCGTGGCCCCTCCAGCAGCAGCAGCAGCAGCAACAGCAGCAGCAGCAACAGCAGCAGCAGCAGCAGCAGGTGGCGCTGAGTTTTTGCTGCTGAAGGCCTCCTATGAGCCCTTTCATTGGACCCCGCCCAAAGGCAAGCACATTTCCAAACCCTAGAGGGTTTCTTTCGGCTGCGAGGGTTTAGGGTTTGGGGTTTAGGGTTTAGGGTTTGCAGGCCACCTCGAGGATGGAGAAGACTTTCTTGCTGCTGCTCTTAGAGAAACTCATGAGGAAACGGGTTTAAGGAAAGAACATTTGAAAGTCTTGAGTTCTTTTTGGAGGGTAAACCCTAAACCCTAGCTAAACCCTAAACTCTAAACCCTAGCTAAACCCTAAACCCTAGCAGGGAGACCCGCAGTGCGGGGCAGACCCTCGCAGGGCTCGATAGGCTTGCAGCTCGCAGGGTAGTGGGGGTTTAGGGTTTAGGGTTTAGGGTTTGGGGTTTGGGGGTCGGTCAAGGCACGGACGCCAGCGCTGCGCGGGACTCTTAAACCCCAAATTAGGCTTTAGGGTTTAGGGTTTAGGGTTTGCGCAGGACCTGCGGTACGAGGCTCGAGGCAAGCCGAAGCAAAGCCGCTACTTTCTGGCGGTTTTGGAAAACCCTGAAACCCCCATTAAGATATCTGACGAGCACGCGGAGTACAGGTGACCCTAAACCCTAAACCCTAAACCCTAAACCCTCGTAAACCCTGGGGCCTGCCCCACGAAGCTGCAGGTCCCTTCCGCCTTCGGGACGGCGCCTTAAACCCACAATGCCGGCCGTCTCAAAACCCTAGACCCTCATTTTGCTGTTGCTGCTGCTGCCGCTGCTGCTGCTGCTGCTGCTGCTGCTGCTGCTGCAGGTGGGTGGGGCTGAAGGAGGCGCAGCAGCTGAGCGGCTTCGAAGATATGCAGCAGCTGCTGTCGGAAGCAAACGGGTATCTGCAGCAGCAGCTGCTAAACCCTAAACCCTAGACTCTCGAGGGTTTAGAGGGCCTGGAGGCCCCTTCTTGGTGCTGCTTGGTGCTGCTTTCATCCGCCGCCGCAGCTCTAGGGTTTAGGGTTTAGGGTTTAGGGTTTAGGAGTGGTCCAGCGGCACGGGCCTGGCTATGACAAAACGAAAGCGAATCAGAAAGCCCACAAAGAAGTGCATGATCAGCCTGCAGCAGCAGCAGCACCAGCAGCAGCGGCAGCAGCAATAGTGCAGCAGCAGCAGCAGCAACGCAGAAGCGGTAAGAGCAGCTTATGCAACAGCGGCGGTGATAGCTGCAGCGCCGGCAGCAGCACAAATAGCAGCTGCAACAGAAGGAGCAGCAGCACCAACAGCAGCAGCACGACCAGAAGCAGCAGCACGAGCAGCAAACGCAGCAGCAGCAACAGCAGCAGCAGCAACACCACCAGCAACCGCAGCGAAAACAACAACAACAGCAACAAAAACAACAACAACAAAAGCAACAACAGCAGCAGCAGCTACAGCTACAGCAACAGCAGCAGCAACAGCAGCAGCAGCAGCAGCAGCAGCAGCAGACCAAAGAAAAGCAATGGGTGCAGCAATCTTGAGGATAACTTCGAGCAGCATATCAGAGCCGCTGGGGTGTCTCCTCAGCTTTTGTCCCGG